TCCTATAATCTATGATTCTATGATTCTATGATTCTATGATTTTTTGTGGAAGTGGCTGGTATGATTATTCATTATTCAGGATGCATAAGTGGTCACCTGAATCATATGGCATCATTTCTGCTGCCTGATTGGATGACTTACACTTTCTAAATAGGAGGCATGGCTGAACAAAGCATTGCTGTTGTGATTTTCCCCAGGGTGGTGGATGGGCGAAGGAGGGAGCATCTGAGAGTGAGAAAGAGCTGGAGAAGAAAGAGATGTCATGAGACAAGAAGGTCTATTAAATGTATGACATTTAAAATCCTGTCCTTGTGCTTTTTTGCACAAGAAAGAGCATAATATCTGGCTATCTACATGGACCCAAGATTAAAGAAATGCCTGCGTTCCTTCCTGGTGAAGGAGAGGTGAACATAAGAACGGCCATACTGGATCAGACCAATGGTCCATCTAGCCCAGTAGCCTGTCTTCTGATAGTGGCCAATGCCAGAGGGAATGAACAGAACAGGCAATCATTGAGTGATCCATCCCTTGTTGTCCACTCCCAGCTTCTGGCAATCATAGGCTAAGGACAGTCAGAGCATGGGGTTGCATCCCTGACCATCTTGGCTAATAGCCATTGATGGACCTATCCTCCATGAACTTTTTTGTACCCTATTATAGTTTTGGCCTTCACAACATCCCCTGGCAATGAATTCCGCAAGTTGCCTGTGCATTGTGTGAAGAAGTACTTCCTTTTGTTTGTTTCAAACCTGCTGCCTATTAATTTCATTGGTGACCTCTGGTTCTTGTGTTATGAGATGGGGTAAATAACACTTCCTTATTCACTTTCTCCACGAGTCACAATTTTATAGACCTCTCTCGCATCCCCTCTTCGTCGTCTCTTCTCCAGACTGAAAAATCCCAGTCTTATTAATCTCTCCTCATATGGAAGCTATTCCATACCCTTAATCATTTTTGTTGTACCTTTTCCAGTTCTAATATATCTTTTTTGAGATGGGGCAACCACATCTGCATGCAGCATTCAAGATGTGGCCATACCATGGATTTAGATAGAGGCAATATGCTATTTTCTGCCTTATTATCTGTCTCTTTCTTAATGATTCCCAACATTCTGTTAGCTTTTTTAACTGCCGCTGCACACTGAGCACATGTTTTCAGAGAACTATCCACAATGACACCAAGATCTCTTTCTTGAATGGTAACAGCTAGTTTAGACTTCAACACTATCGATGCTGGTGAGGCAGATCTCCTATTACCTTGACAGCTGTGTTTTTCCCTCCCTCTCCCCTCAGAAGATTGAACCAAGAAGGGTTTGGAGGCTCTCGACGATTCAGCAGCTGATGAAAACTGAGGTCTGGAGCTCAGGGTGGACATAGCTCAAGAGTTTCATTCACCTTCACCAAGCGAGACCCCGTGGCACAGGGTTCCAGATCTAATGCCCACATTGACAGAGCTGCCTTATGGTCCTTGTGTCAGCAAACTCTGAGCACTCCTGGACGTGAGATCATTGCTTGAGGGTCACCAGAAGTGAGTCTAGCTGGATAATCACTCAAAGGAGAAAGAACAGTTACTTACCCTCCTGAGGGCCTTTGAAATGTGCTGTCCATATCAGAGGTTCTCAAACTGTGGTCCATGGGATAGTCCCCTTTAAGGTGTGCGCCTGAGCGGCTGCACACAAGAGACTGAAGGGCCACCCACCTAATTAGTGAAGCCGTGCAGGCGTGGCTCCACTAATTAGATGCCTGGACCATGGAGAAGACACACATGTAAGGTGAGGTGGTGGCCTAGGGGAGAATAGGAGATAGGTGGGAGGGGGCAGTGGGGTGAGAAGAGGGGGTGGAGGCAATTTGGGACGTGCAGGGCTGCGGTGGCCAGAGAAAGAGGAACCTTTCCCCAGCTCCAGGGCTGTGGTTGCCGGGGGAGAGACAGCCCTCCTTCCCAGACTCAGTTATGCCGTCCTTCACAGACTGCTATGGTGGGGGAAATACCCCCGTCCTTCCCAGCCCCAGTGGGGGAGAGAGAGAGAGAGAGAGAGACGACCCCCTCTTTCCCAGACCCAGCTCAGGGGCTGCCACGGGAGGGGAAAGAGGGCACATCCATCGCATTAGAAAGGTAAGACTACTGATAGTAAAATATGAGTTGTGTGCTTTTATTTGTGGAACAAAAAAATGTTAATTATTATTATAGTGCTTTTATCCAAGCGCTTTACAATAGTTAGCTAATGGTATAAACAACATTTGGAAAGATCATTAAGTGATTCACCCAGACCCTCAGCAATTTTCAAGTGGTCCGCTAAAAACAAAGTTTGAGAACCACTGGTCTAGATGGATTCCACAACCTGCCTTTCTTCCCTGCTGCTGCGAAGTCCTATATCATCTGGAATCTGGAAGGAACTGCAGGGTGATTGCAGCCACCCTGCCCTTTATGCCCTCAGCTACAGGGCACCACAAAGTATTTGGGGTGCAGGCCAAGCCCCAACAGATA